TATTTGATCACATAATGAATATATAGAAAGTATAGAAAATTAAATAATAAAGCCCACCCAGCCCAACATTCTTATCAAATAATAGTCTCATCTTTGTACAGTATAAGATTGGTTGTGCTTTAAAGTAATTATGAGTGGACAAAAGATTAGGCAAAGGATATGTGGCTGATTTTTATTCCCCTCTTTGTCATTTTATGCATTTCAAAATTTCTCTTGAAGCATGTATTATAATTTTTAAAATGTGACTAATATTTTTATTTATTTATTTTTATTTTTTGTGACTAACTTTGTTTTTCTTTATTGATTTTTCTTTTAGAGAGAGAGAGAGGAAGGGAGAGGGAGAGAGATAGAAACATCGATGAGAGAGAACATTGATTGGCCACCACCTGCACACCCCCCAGTGGGGATTGGGCCCACAACCTGGGCATGTGCCCTGACCAGGAAGTAAACCAGAGACCTCCTGGTGCGTGGGTTGATGCTCAGCCACTGAGCCACACCAACTGGGTGTGATTAACATTTTTTAACAATGCATTTTACCTTGGGTTTCCTGAAAAGGATGAGACTTCGAACATACATTTGTTTCTACTTCCTGTTTAAAGCCCCATTGAAATTAGAGAAATGTATATATATTTTAAAGAATCAAACTGTACCATACTGGAAAATATCACAGAATGAGATTGATGCATTAAATTTTATTTATTTATTTATTTTTTAGTATTTTGGAGGTTATTTTCTTTTCTTTTTTTTATAAATTATTTATTTATTTTTTTGTTACAGATATTTTACCTTTTTTACCCCATTGGCACCCCCCTCCCCACCCCACCCCCGCCCCGTCCCCGGCTTAGTTGTCCAAGTCCATTGGTCATGCATGCATGCATATAAGTTCTGTGGTTTATCTTTTCCCACCCCCCCCACCCCCCAACCCCTCTTCTGAGGGATGTCAGTCTGTGCCCTACTTCCATGTTTCTGGGTCTACCGTATTCCTCAGACTGTTATGTTCATTATATTCCGTATATAAGTGAGATCATGTGGTATTTGTCTTTTTCTGCTTGGCTTCTTTCACTTAGGATAATACTTTCCAGGTCCCTCCATGTTGTCTCAAAGGATAAGAGATCTTTCTTTCTTACCACTGCATAGTACTCCATTGTGTATATGTACCACTGTTTTTTTATCCATTCGTCTACTGATGGACACTTGGGCTGTTTTCAGATCTTAGCTATTGTAAATAGGATGCACTAAAATTTTTGAAAAATTCCAAGAATGTTAAAAGCAGATAGAACTGTCAATACACATAGACTCAGACACACTCACAGATATACACACACAGACACTGACACACTGACAGATACACACACACAGACACTGACACACAGATATACACACACAGACTCAGACACACAGATATACACACACAGACACCGACACACTGACAGATACACACACAGACACACTCACAAATATACACATATAGACACATACAAAGACATACAGGTATACACAGACACACTGACAGGCACAGACACACACACACACATGCTGACAGACAGACACACACACACACACACACAAACACACACAGCAACAGCAGCAGCCATCATACCCAAGCTTGGAATCAAAAAGCTTGAAAGGACTTAGAGAAATCATCAAGGCAATTAAATTACATTGATGGTTAATTAATCCATCTGAGGTTAATTTATGTTAGCACTTCAGAGTGGCTGATAGCAAGGATTTTTGCTCCCAAAATAAAGCCCTCCAAATTTGTCTCTGCAGACAGTGAGTGGTCTGCTCTCCTGAGCAGGAGTAGTGGAGCCAGAGTGAGAAGCAGAGCTTCAGATCCTACCGTCCTCCCCAACAGATACTAAAAAGAAGCGCAACATTAAAACAAGGAAAGATACCTATCCTCAGAGACGGAAAACAACAGCAAAAATAAAAGCAGTCATCAAAATGAGGCTGTCCGCCGCAGCAGGGGGAGCTGTGCTGAAGCCTGCTCCTCCCGCCGTCCCCCCCTTACAGAGCAGGCTGCACCTGACTCACCACCCCTGCCCCTTGGCTGCAGGAGATCACGCACTTTTCACAGAAAGAAGTGTTGGGCTAACGGACCTTCCAACTGCCCGGGAATCCCACGCTAGCTGAGTGTATCAATTGGTCTAGACAGTGGTGCCCAAACTTTATCTTGTATGAGAATTGCCCTGGAGCTTGTTAAAAAGGCAGATTCTAGGATCCCAGTCTCCGGGTCTGGGATTCAGGACCCCGGAGACTGGGATCCTGCAGCTGTGAGGTAAAGCTAAGAATGTGCCTTTTAACAAGCATGCCAGCTAATCCAGATGCATGGCCAGCGTGTGACACAGTGGACGTACAAGACAAAAACAACTTGACAAGACACAGCAAAAAAGCAAAACAAAATTTTGCCAGAATAACCACATTTTCCTTGGGACTATGATTTACTTGGGTTGAGTCCCTTTATCACCAAGGTCCTGTTTTTTCATTTACAAATCAGGATGATCAAAATTGTTACCTGTCTTTCATTGATTTTAAGGACTGATATGTCATTTGCAAAGAGATTTGATGGGTAACTTCGCACAAACTTTTAAAGAAAATTAAAGTTATGTTTGTAAGTACTGTTAACTAATTAGTCCATATTTACCCATGGTATAGACAATTATATATTTTATGGCAAAGGTCACAAACAACCTGATGGTATCACAGCAATTTGTGTAATTATTTTTTAACTTTACCTAACATTGTTCATTTATCATAGTTTAATATGGCCTTACACAGCCTGGAGCCTGTGGGTTTATACCTGTTTGTATGAATGGACACCCGGATGATGTAAGTTTCACAAATATAGATGACAAGTTCCAGCATATAGGCTTATGGGATTTTATTGAATGTCTAGTTAATAAGCAACTAATAGTCTCAGGTACACTTTTTTTTTTTCTGTAATGCAGGGGTTTTCAACCTTATCTCTTGATATTTTAGGACAGATATTTCTGTCTCAAGAAGCTGTCCTGTGAATGGTAGGACCCCTGGTTTAGCAGCATCCCTGGTTTCTATTCACTATATGCCAGTAACATGTAGTGGGATGCATCCAAAATGTCTCCAGATATTGCCAGATGTCCCCTGGGGGACTAAATTGCCATGGCTCAGAACCACTATTATAATGCACAGTAAATTATTCCTGAGTTTTGGAAGGGGAAACAAACAAAGAAATAAAAGGAAAAACTGGCTGGAAATATGTTCCATGTTTTGTGAGGCCTAAGAAATGTGATAAAAGTTGCAATAATACTATTGTATAAATAGGATAACAGGTGGTTGGTAGTGCCACAAAGATAGAACATCTAGACCTTGGTAAATTACTTTGTGTCTACTTCCTCATCAATAAATATAATAATAATGCCTATATCACAGGGTGAATATAAAGAATGATTTCATGTAAGGTACCTAGAAGAGTAACTTAATATAATAAAGCACCAAATAAATGTTATCAATCAGTATTATTACTATCACCATTATTTTCTTGCTTGAGTAGGATAATGTAACAGGTAATGAGTCTAAGTAATTTAATCAAATGAAAGATTTTTAGATCATAGCGACTATAGAGAGCTCTATTTTGAAAAAAGAACACGCGCACACACACATAACACACACAAACCCCACTAAACCTTAAATCTTTGGTAGAACAAGTGAACTTTACTTGTTAATTTTGCAGGTGTATGCCTATGAGTGTATGTTGTATAATTTAGATCTTGCTACTTCCAAAAAGCATACAAGATGATATAAAACATACAGTACATAATACAAACAATGCTATTAAAATAGAGATAGGCATGGACATTTTCAGACATGTAGAAACAGAAATAAAGCCATCCCTTTCTAGTGTTTTAGAGCTAGCCAGCCTTTAATAATCCAGACGTTTTGAAAGCAAACCCGGTTCTCACGTTGGCGCACAAATGAAAGCCGATGGTGACAGATCTCAGATCCTCACTGTCAAGAACAGATGAGGGAACTGTTGCGCTTTACCCACGGGAATCATTCCTTCTAACTGTATGGGTCCTCGGAGACGAATTTTCTTCAACTCAAATGTCTCTAAAGCAAGGTCTCTGGCATCTTGGTGATTATGCTTCTAAGAAAAAGAGGAATAGGCATTGCCCTAAACGAAGGTGTTTACAACAAAAAACCTGTTAAAGAATATTAGTTGTCTTTCGTTAATGTCTGGATCCAAAAACTCACGAAACAATACAAAGAATTTTGACTCAGATTTCCGGTGGAGTAGAATCTCTCTCTCAACCTCTATCTCGATTTCAAACACACACACACACACACACACACACACACACACACACACTCACTCTCTATTACAGTAGTTAGGAGAAAAGCAATCAGAACTTTAGAGAGCTGTAGAGACGGTTGAGCATCCAGCTGCAGATGCAAGACGAGCCTTTAACCCAAGGTTCGGTCCTGCGGTGGCTGGTGGTCAGCGCACGTCTAGACAGTAGGGAACTTTGGGACCACTCCCCGAGGGCCTACGGCGCCCCTGGAGACTGGGCGTTGGGACCAGCACAGAGAGGAGAATAACAGAGATGGTGCGAGCTGCGGGTGGCAGCAGCAGTGCTCGGAATCCCTTGCCCCCGGGTCCCCTGGGCTGCAGGGCGCAGTGACTCGGAGGAGGAGCGCGAGCGCTTCCCCGCGGCTCCTGCAGGGGGCGTGGGGCCGCCCCTCCCCGCCTGGGGCCGCGGGGCTAAGTCGAGACCGGGCTACCACCCACTCTACCCCGAAGCCCAGACCAAGCCGCGAGCCGCCGCGCGGCAGGACCCGGATCCGAGACCCGCGGGCGCCGGCAGCCCGGCCCCGGGCATCCCCCGCCTGGTGGCCCCGCCACTCCGGCTGCGCCGCGCTCCGGGCCACAAGTTGGACCCACGCCCGCCAAGTTGCGAGTGCGGAGCTTCTCCGGGCTCCGGGAACAGCGCCCCGATTCTCGCTCGGGCTGGTCCGGCATGGCTCGGCCGGGGGCGTCGTCCCACCTCTCGGGGTGGCTGCTGCTCGTCGGTTGCCTCCTCGCCGGAGCCCAGGTAAGAGCCCCCAACCCACTGTACCTGCTTCTTTTGGAGCCTCGGAGACCGAGAGCAAGGCGCTCACCCCAACTCTCTCTCTCTCTCTCTCTCTCTCTCTCTCTCTCTCTCTCTCTCTCTCTCTCTCTTAGTGGAACAGCAATGCAAAAAGGCTTTAGGTGAGTGATGTCCTGGGGCGGGCACTGTTCAGACCAGCATCTTGGCATCTGCAAAGTAAAGGAGATATTTAGGAGCAATGGGGTTCTGGATCGGGGGCGAAGCTGGAGGTGAAAGAACTTTTCTTCCCCATAGTCTCTTTCCTCCCTATTTAATTAATCCTAATTATTTTTGTCTGCTGGCAATTTGCGGTCACCTTTGAGAACGTAAACTTCCAGGATCGATGTGACCACCGTCTGAAAGGGTAACTGGCTCTCCTTGATGCAGAATCACGTATCATCAAAACAAAGAGACTAGATAGAAAAAAATACCCTGTTAAAGCTCAGTTGTTAATGTTAGGAATAAGTGGTAGTAGTCATTTCATACTGCTAGTATTGTTGAGAGATTTTCTGGGTGATCTTTCAGAATAATGGAGCCCCTCAAATATGTAAGTGACATTTCATCCTCACATTTGTCTTGTGCCAAATAGAATCTAGAGTTTACACTCAGCTCTTCAGATGAGCTAGGAGATTTTCTACTGATGGGTGTAAGGCAATTTTGGGAGTCCTGTGAATTTAAACGAAATCAAGGTTATTTCTCTCTTCTCTTCGGTAGGGGGCGCATCTTGACCATCAAATGAAACACCAAGTGTTTTTATTTTTCCTGAAAAATTTTTCACCGTGAGAAAATTAGGCATTGATTTGTGTTCTGATACTACATAAACTTAATACTATGTTATTGGCTTTCAGATAACCAATTTAAATTTCAATTAATCTAAAAGTGCAGGTTTTTTTTTAACCACATAACACATTAAATGAAAGGAAATAGTGCCCTGCTAAATACTGGGCTTTGCTAACATGACCAGGATGTTTCCATAAACTTGTTCTGTTTTAAAAATATGAAACAATATGTGTGTTACACATTGACTAATAATATTAGCCGTGGATGCTTAAGAGTAGGGTGTGCTTAAACTTGAAAATTTTCACCAACAGAAGTAATATGACTGAAAGGAAAAAAACAAAACCCTAAGAATTTGGTGACACAGAACTCTGGTGATCTCTAATGTACTCCTTGCATTTCTATCTCATAAAATATTTGAATAACATGCTTAGAAATACTGCTTCCCTGTATAAGGGGCAAGTGAATTCTAACTGCTGATTTTACTCAGTATTCTAGATTACTTTCTCTAGGAAATGGGAGGATATTGATTAGTACAACAATAACAAAAAAATCACTGTGGGATTATGAGCAGGATATTAAACATTTTACTTTTAGATTTCAATCAGACAATCAGGATATTAAATATTACTTTCTATAATCATGAACTCAGGTTTCTCAACCTTGGCACTATTGACATTTTAGGTCATATAATTCTTTGTTGTGGGGTTTTCTTGTACATTGTGGGATATTGAGTAGCATCCCTGTCCTCTTTCCACCAGACTCCAGTAGCATGCCCCCCACCCTGCCCCTGTCCAGTTAGGACACTAAATGTATCTCTAGATGTTAACAAATGTTGCTTTGTAGGCAAATTGCCCCTGGTTGGGACCCATTGCTTGAAACTGACTTCCATTTATGTTTGTAGATTAAGAATTGTGTAAAACGACAGTTTGTGATGATATGTTACATTTTTGGCACTTTAAACAAAATCTGAAAATTAAATTAAGGTGATTTACATTGACACCTTCTCTGATCTTCAGTTTCTTCATCTTCATTCCCAGCTAATACACACATATATTTAAAAAATTTTAAACATATTGTTAGAATAACAAAGAGAACTCATCCAAGCAGAGTTAGCTTGTGCAGAATAATACTTTATTCAATAGGTATTGGATCACATCACAAAACAGATAACATAGACTAGTACTCATCAATTGTTTAAAAAAAATCTCTGTGGTTTTTGGTTGGCAAAGATGCTGCCTTTGACTCAATGCACAGTTCAGAATTCATTCATTCATGCATCATGTGTCATTGCGGAACCCAGCAATATATTTCCTCAAGTCAGATTATCACATGGTAATGAGGACCACTGTATAAATATGTGTAGTATTTTCTTTACTGTGTCAGTGGGTCCTCCTGGAAAAAGACTCTAAATTGGAATTAGGGGTTCCATAAGTTTATTGGGGGGATGCTTGTGAAAGATAAAAGGGTGAGGAGGCAGGATTGGATAGAGAGAGCACATCCGGATGCACATCTGACAAAGTCCGGGCCAACCCCATGGAGAGATCTGGGGTAAGGGTTGCCCATCGGAGGAGCCCCATGTGGTGATGGAATGGCCAGGGCCCAGCACTCCCATCGTGTTCAGTCATTGCCTGGGGTTGTTTATGGGATCGTAGACTTGGCTGCCGGGCTGAGACAGATGCTTGGAAGCAGCAGGCAGCCCACTACACTCCTTACGAACAAATGGCTGGGTCTTTCTTGAAGGACCCTCAGTGGTGCATCTCCATGGCTCCTCCCTTACAAAATTATCAAGGAACAACACTGGCTTTGCTGGGCTGACCCCACTTGATTCAGTCACCTTGCCAGGCTCCCTGGTGGCAGATCACGTGTTTCTCAGACAGTGTGTATGTATGGAGAGGGGAGTACAAATCCATCAGCACAACAGGAAAAATGACCAGAAGCTAATGACATAGTGAGTGGAAATACATAAGTTCCATAGAGTACCAGGTGTGAACAGATGCCAGTAGGCAGGGTTTCCTTTGAGCATCACTCATTTTTGCCTGGGTGGGATCCCGACACTGCCACGGTCATTCTTATGCAGGGGAAGAAGCGCTAGGGAACCTGGAAAGCTGAGTTCAAACTCCTTTTCTGATAAGATGCACTCTCCCTGGGCTCTAAACTTTATTTTTTATTTACTTTTGTCCTCACCCGAGGATATTTTTGCATTTATCTTCAGATAGAGTAGGAGGGAAAGAGGGAGGAAAAGAGAGAGAGAAACATTGACGTGAGAAAGACACATTGAGCGACTGCCACCCACAGGGCCCCAGTCGGGGCCGGGGATGAACTGCAACTGAGGTACGTGCCCTGCGTCTCTCTGGTCTGCAGGCCGACGCTCTAACTGCTGAGCCAAACCGGCCAGGGCTTAAACTTGATCTCTCTACTCTCACTCTGGGTGCTGAGGAGGAGAAACTCTACTTTCTCAATTCATTGGGAAGAAAAATAGAGCATTTTCAACAAACATTCATACATTCCATTTAATTTCCTAACTTGAGCTTCAGCTGGTTTTGTCATCTACTGGAAATCATCTCCTTTCTTTGCCCTCTGTTTAGTTTTTATCTTTTCTCTGAATTAGTCTTTAAATCGTTTGATGGCAGTGTGACTTTAGGCAGTCCATTTCACCCTGTGAGTCTCCATTCTAAAATGGGACAATGCTGTAATGGCATTTACGTCATAGAAGGGGAGAGAGTATTGACTTTAAAATATAAAAACAAACTGTGATTGAAAAAAATGTATACAAGCAGACAAAAGCTTTAAGGTGTTTGATAGTGAAACTATCAGCTCTTTTCTCTATTTGTATTAGCCTATGAATAAGGGGCTTTTTAATGGAATGATTGTTAGGCTGAGATGATATCTAAGCATGATTGGGAGCCACGGAAGACTTTTGAATGGTGCGTGTGTGTGAATTTTGAAAGGTGGTTCTGTCTGCCTGCAGCACTGTTCCTTTTATTCCTTGCGGTTTCTCCTTCAGGGCCTATTGGACATTTTATTCATAGTACTGATAGATGTTTTAATTTTACGTTTATTAATATGAATACTTTATTAAAATCTATTTGCCCCTCTGAAACACCAATAAGAAAGAGTATATGCACCCCTACGTTTATAGCAGCATTATTTACAACAGCCAAGAACTAGAAACAGCCCAAGTACCCAGAGCAGATGAGTAGATACAAAAGCTGTGGTACAGCCCTGGCCGGTTTGGCTCAGCGGTTAGAGCATCGGCCTGCAGTCCAGAGAGACCCGGGTTCGGTTCCCGCTAAGGGCACGTACCTCGGTTGCTGTTTGTCCCTGGCCCTGGTTGGTAGTGCAGGTGGCAGCCACTCGATGTGTCCCTTTCACGTCAATGTTTTTTTTTTTTTTTTTTTTAATTTTTTATTTATTTTTTGTTACAGATATTTCACCTTTTTTACCCCCTTGGCACCCCCCTCCCTACCCCACCCCAGCCCCGTCCCCGGCTTAGTTGTCCATGGCCATTGGTCATGCATACATGCATATAAGTTCTGTGGTTTGTCTCTTCCCACCCCCCCAGCCCCCCACCCCCTCTTCTGAGGGATGTCAGTCTGTGCCCTACTTCCATGTGTCTGCGTCTACCGTATTCCTCAGACTGTTATGTTCATTATATTCCGTATATAAGTGAGATCATGTGGTATTTGTCTTTTTCTGCTTGGCTTATTTCACTTAGGATAATACTTTCCAGGTCCCTCCATGTCGTCTCAAAGGATAAGAGATCTTTCTTTCTTACTGCTGCATAGTACTCCATTGTGTATATGTACCACCACTTTTTTATCCATTCGTCTACTGATGGACACTTGGGCTGTTTCCAGATCTTAGCTATTGTAAATAGTGCTGCTATGAACATGGGGGTACATATATTCTTCCTGATTGGTGTTTCAGGCTTCTTAGGGTATATTCCTAGAAGTGGGATCACTGGGTCAAATGGAAGTTCAATTTTTAATTTTTTGAGGTAACACCATATTGTTTTCCATAGTGGCTGCACCAGTCTGCATTTCCACCAGCAGTGTATTAGAGTCCCCTTTTCTCCACACCCTCGCCAACACTTGTTTGATGATTTGTTGATGGCGGCCATTCTGACAGGTGTGAGGTGATACCTCATTGTTGTTTTAATTTGCATCTCTCTGATGATTAGTGAT